ATCTATAAAATAATTATATATAAAAAAAAAATCCTCTACAACAAAATATCACTATGGTACAATGGATAAAAATCAAATACACATAGGGTTAAACGATGTGTTCAAATGTATATATTTAGCTATCAATAAACATATTCGAACTGGATTTTTGGACTGACTGAAGAAAATTCCTAGAATTATTTTAACCAAAATAAACATCTATTTTTTCAATAAATTTAAACCTCTACATATAAATAAGTATTAAAACCGCACCGCTACATAACGTCTGACATCGATCGATTTTACATAAAAAAAAACACATTTTAAAAATAAACGTTAGTGATAAAAAATTTAACGCCTTTTTTACAAATCAATATTTGTTTTTTATTTAAATATTATCGTATTTTCGGCACTGCGAAAAAAAGACACACTTGGGGGCAATCAGCGTTCAATATGATTAGTTAGACACGCATGAATCGAAATGACAATAATAATGCGAGTCCGAACGTAACATCAGAAAAAAATATATTATCAATTTTTTCACATTGATAATAAATATATTAATAACTCCGACTTTTGGATTATTTTATTTAAATACTTAAAGACTAGATTTTTGTGTCACTATACTCGTGTATTTTCCTATAAATTGTTAAGCTAATGACTTTTTTTTAAATTCTTATAATATACGAGTATTTAAATCGAAATTCAATCGTATTACTTTAGGTATAAAAATATAAATAATTTAAGATATTGTCCTCGTATTTTAAACTAATATACTTATGAATTCTAAAAATAAGAAACTGAATTAATTATTTACCCAATAAAAATATAACGGTGAGATCGCTTGATTAGATTAATCAAGGATAGCGCAAAAAAAAAAAAAACGAGACGATTCGAAGTATGGTAAATTCGACAATTACAGCAAAAACAATGCGTGCGCTGTGAAAAAGATTGGACGCAGTCGTATTCGACAAATTATCGGAGGGCATGATGAGTTGAAAGTTAAAAAAAAATCATACATCTTTCGTAGCAGTAGATCACACGTGAATTTTTCAATTATCTTCGGTCATCTCGTTCGTATATGTGCATACAAATTACGCATGGAATGTTGATATATTTTCCGCGCTGCATTACTGCATATATTAATTTTATTGGCAACGCTGCGTGCGGAGACCGAAATAATTGTATGGTGACACGAAAATGGTAATCTGCTCGTCCATCAAACATCGTCGCCGGACTGTCACGCATTTACCCGTGCGATTTTAGGGATCTCTGGCACATGTACACGCGTGTAATTTAATATAATGGACGCAGGACGTACGGGAATTCCAGTTGTCTAAAAAACCGCATCTAATCTGTGTTTTAAATTTGAAATGTTAATCATATAATTTTATTAATCACAGCAATTTTATACATATTATCGTTGAATAACATATTATACCATGTATCATTAGATACGGTGGAACACATTAAACCCCTCGATATAAGTCGACTGCGTGCCCAAAAATTTAATCTTTGATTAAAAAAAAAAAAAAAAAAAAAAAAAAAAAAGACCAAGATATTTTTCAATGAGAATGTATGTGTTTTCAAACACATAAAAAATACTTACGGTAAAGTCTAACCTAACCTTGCGAAGTAATATATTAAATTATTGACTTATTCCTTATATGTAGAAGTTCGTAAACGTCCGTTATTCGTTCGGGGCTGTCAACGCTACACCATACATTATTATAATTTATAATGCGTAAGGGTTTACAACACCGTAACGTCGTTAAACTATATATTATATTATATGAGCGGATATCGATGTAACATTGTGCCGCAGTGAATCGTTTATTATTTTATACCATTATTTCTTCGTACACTATTACTCCAATCCTACGTCGTTGCACGATCGAGCAAAGAAAAAAACTAGAAATATTAAAACACATGATCATCATCTATGAATGGATTATTTAAAACCGATTGATGCAACAATTATTTTAATATAAATATAGGTGAATCAGTCGCTACTACAAGTACGTCGTAAAAATTAAAAAAAAATACAAATTAATTTGCTTTATTCTTAAACGTGTACCTTTTCTTCAGAATAGATTTCGAAACTAAGGTTAGTACTCTTAGAAATTTCCGGAAAGGGAAATATTCTCGGATATTTCAAGAAAATTATATTAACATTATCATTCTTGGGAATACGAACAATTAAAGCATATATGTTTATACAATAAGTGCATTTTAGTTTTTAAGTTGAATTTTATTTTAAGATATTATTTTTTTATTATAGAAAAATTTTATCTGTACTAAGATAAATATTAGTCAGCAAGTCAAATAAATATAAATTATTATAGTAACTATATTATAATTAAATTCTTATTGTTGAATTGAATTGGTCGCTACTTACTCACTGCTGTAAAACTATATATATTTTCAGTGATACAACTAATCAGATTATGTCAACTATTGCAAAGTCAATTGATTAGTATTGTGGTAGAAATAAAAATATTTATTTACAAAAACGTGATTTATTTAAACCGTTTGAAAAATAATCAATAATACATCGAAAAAAATATCTGATTTAAAGATAACCTTTATTTAGTTTCGGACTCATTGTGGTAATTGCGTTAGTACTGTAAGACGGTGAAAGATGAAGAGGATTGTAAAAATTCACTAAAAGTAATAATAACCATAACAATAAGACGATATAGCTGAATGCTGATTTTTAAAACTCCTTCTACTTAACCAACGACACGACAATCTTGATTGTTAAATTTTTATATTTCTTTATGATTCAATATCATCCTTTGAATATACACACACGTTGTCTTCATCGGGGATTCCAGAATTGCGCTCAAAATAACACGGAACTCGCTTACGTCAAAACATCTCTGTAATATTATTCATATTGACATCAATTCTCGTGTTCCCACGGGGCTACTGCCGACTACCTGAATGTCCATACAAACTTAATTCATCACCCTAAATTGTCGGAATAATATTATTATGATCATCATCATCACCATTATCATCATCGCCGTCGTCGTGGAAAAAGGATATCATCGGATTTTATAAGCCCCGGCCTTTTGTAGATCTTAAAATTCCTCATTTCCTTTACAGCTTTCATAATTATTAGTATCATATTACGTTGTTACAACACGTATTACGCTATGTTTGTCGGTGTCACGTAGTGGTATGTTGTTATTTTTTTCTTTTGAAAATAATGCACTACGCTACTGCTCTGCTATTACGTCACTGAAAGCACATATAAAAGTTGTTGAAAACTTGTGCGTATAATATGTATCTAGCTCGTACAATATAATATGTTTACGAACTGAAATTGTTGACCTTGTCAAGTCGACTAAGTATAAAACAATAATAATTATATTATATTTTGGATTTTAGGTTTGAAAAAAAATAAATATAAAACTTTTTCTATAAGGTTACTATACTATATTATTACGTGATATAACGTTCTTCTTATGGTTTTATCTAACCTTTATATAATTAATTTTAGCATTATAAACAAATTGTGTATACCTATAATTTTATTCGTATTAATTTAGGGTCAGTTGGTATACCGATTGAAGGATTTGCTATTCATGCTCAATAAATAAAATATATGTAATATACATATGTATATATATAATTAAAAACTGTACATTAAATATTCCGTGGTGACATTTAATTTAATATGAAAAAAATATATTTATAAAATATTAACTAAAATATCTGTTTTTATTAATGATTTAAATAAAACTTTTTTTGAGCCATATATACACGATACATGAGTATATACAATTTTAAATTTTCAGTTAATTATTTTTCATCATCATAATTTTGTATTGTGTATGGATTACGGACTAGTTATAGTATCATTGACAATGGCCATCAAATAAATAAGGTACTATGCCATAGATACCTAACGTGTATTTCATTGAAGATTTTTTTTTTTTTTGTGGTTACAAATCTGCTAATATGGTATTACAAATTATAATCGAATTACGATTTTATTACATTTTTTTTTTCATTTGGGTCACAATAGTTGACAATCGAAAACGCCATATTTACACTATACAGAAACTTTCATGTATTAATTAATCGTATTTACTGAATTAAAAATTTCCCTTTGAAAGTATAGTTCTCTCGTGCAACTAAATATTTAGATAACAGTAATATCTAGGCTAAACATTTCTGTAAAACGATTTCGAAATATATTATATTCATGAATTACGTGAACGGAAAATTTACTCTAAAATATGAGAGCTTTAAAACTTTTTTGAATTTAAAATACAATAATTTATAATTGATGTTCTATGTCTCAAAAAGAAATGCATCCATGCAAAATTAATTTGAAAAAAAAATATATATCAAAAAATAAAATACAAAATTAACTTATAATTGACATTCAAATACTATAGTTTTATTTTTATATTAACCAGTCATAAAAAATAAATAATTATAAAAAATTCGTTTTTTTTTTTTTACCCCGAAACTAAATAGTTATGTATTAATTATTTGTTTGAGGAACGAAACACGCAACTGATTATAAAACAACTAACAAAATCATTTTACAACTCCGATATTGAGACACGCTATAATAATATAACAAAATAGTATTTGTCAAAAAAATAATATTTTTAGTTATTTAACTAATTTATACATTTTATCTATTTATCCTATCATCATGCGTCAAAATAAACTTAAAAAAAAAATATGTTTACATTAAATGTCGTAATGCTATGCAATGTACATGTTTGTAAGCCACAACAAATATTTTCTATTATTTTTATAACTTTGATCATTTTAATTTTTATTTAAAACTCGGTAAATACAACTTATGGTAATATATTACAATATAATATTTATGAGAAATAATAGTTGTATTTTTAACATTTAAGTATAATGCTTTGAGACAGTTAAAAAGTAAAAACAACTTCAATCATTAGTATGACTACTATAATGTTGAATGTTAAAAAATATATAAATATTTATAAATTAATTAATAAAATTATATATTTTTTTCACAGGAGGATATTATACGATTGAGCAAAAAGGAAATAAACTTAGGATAATTGCGCTCAATTCAAATGCATTTTCGACAGTAGAAAGGCAGCGGAACGTAGTCAACCCTGTAGAACAGCTTGAGTGGTTGGAAAAAATCTTATTGAAATCAGTCATAAATAAAGAAACAGTGAGTAATAATATTAGATATTAGTCAAGTTCAATTTTAACGATCGTTAATATTAAGAACAAAATAAAATAAGGCTAGGTTATATTAAAAATGTTTAACTTAATAATATCGCAACACAAAATAAATTTTCAGTCAGTTCTCAAAGTGCCCATAATATGTTTTAACCACGCAAATAATATGATATGTAATTTAATAGTCATTTACTTAAATAATGATACTCAAAAATCATGGTTATTTTTTTTTCTAACTTCATGAAAATAAATAAATTGTATGTTTAATCTTTAAACATATGCCTACGATATAACAGCACCTAAAATATATTTTTAAACGAGGATAAAACCACACAGCTAGATTTTTAGATATATTTAAAAAAAAAAAAAAAAAAAACAGAACATTGTATTTTATTTGTAAATACCCACAAAATGTTTATATCGAGCTTGTTAATAAGTTTATCATTAAACTTTTATCACAACGATGTTTACATAGTTGTCTTTTAATTAAAATCATGATCCAATTTTTTTGAGCGAACTCGTTAAACGTTAATCGTAACGTCGACATTTTTAAATTGCATATTAAAATGATTGCAGTTGTTGTGATAAAAGTACGTCTATACATATTACCAATGATTGAATTAAAATTACCGTGAAATACGATTGTCGACTAGAAAAGAAAAGTAAAAACTATAATACGTAATTAACCATGATCGCTTTTCCCGTTATACTCGATCATAGACCCGAAATAATATTAAAACCCCAAAGTGCACGATGATATTCCGACATCCTGTGCCTATTATCGTCTGTCTGTTTGTTCATTTCAACAACGCAGTCTACGATTCGAACAATTTCCAGGTGTACCTAGTGAGTCACATGTGCCCGGGTGCCAACGAAAGAGACCAGGATGAGGCGCCTACGTTCAAAGACGACTACAGTGCGAGCTATATGGAAATGATCCGGAGGTTTGCGAACATCATTGTCGGACAGTTTTGTGGTCATCTGCATTCCGACACATTCCGAATCGTCTACGACCAACACAGTGAGTATTAAAGTCTCATCTAATGTAATATTTGATCGTCTCTTCGTGTGATGTTTTTTGCGTAGTTGATGATTATCTCACCTTTTAATGATAGACTCAATGGGTCAAAATGAGTTCTATCAATTACTTTACTATTAAAAGGAAATATTTTTTTTCTTTTTTAAACTATTGACTATTATATTTTTGTCTGACTGAAGCCAAATTGTACACACTATTTTTGTTAGTTCTAGTCTAGGAATTTGTTGTTGTTATAAATACTATTTTTTACGATTTTACTCTTGCCCTGACGTTTATTTTAACCGAGGAAAGTGTATAATCGAAAAAAAAACAAGGTAAAATATGTTAAATATGATAAACAAACATGTGAATTTTAAAGTAAACATAGTTTAAAGTATTTTCACTTTTGGGTGAGTACTAGGGAACGGATTTTATTGTAAATACATATTTTTATTGGAATAAGATATTTTAAATCTGATAAAAATGTGTACGATTTTAAATATTCTAATTAAAATAAATCCAAATTTTTCTTACATATTTTTACATATTTTAATAATTGTTGATTTTTTTATTAATTTTTGAAAATCATAAATATTATCTGCTTCGTCAAATTAACAAGACTACCTTGTAATTTTTAACGACTACCAAATATTATACGTTATCTAAATGGCAATTACTCGTACGTACTTATTTTTGGCACGCAGCATGCCACTATGTAAATTAGAACTAGTTCACTTATTGTCGATATTGGTAATGCCGGATTATATTAGTATAAAATAAGGAATAATAGTGATAACCTACATACTCGATAATCGTTTTTAGTATTATTCGTAGTCGCGTTTATAACGTAATCTCGTGTACGTATAGTTTAAAATTTTTTAAATGTCAAAAGTTGTGAAATTGAAATCGAAAGCGAATAATTTTTATTTAAAAGAATTTCCTAACAAGACATTTAAAGGTGATGGAAAAATTGTATTCTGTTCATTCTGTGAAAAGGCAGTTTCAATAAATCAGCGTTTTTCAGTTACTCAGCATAATATATTAATATATTATATCTACATCTAAGCATTAACAAAATAGAAATCGTAAAAAAAATGTCAACAAATTTTCTTGAATTCGGAGCCATCAACGTCTTCCAATAATTTGTCAGCTTTTAATACCGATATGTGCCGAATGTTAACTTGCGCGTATATTTTAATTTTCAAACTAAAAAATTGAGAATTCATAAATATTTTAAAGAAATATACAAGAAAAAAAATTTCAGATGTAAGTATCACCCGAAAAAGTTATGTTAATATAATTTACGAGGTAACATTAAAATCAATTAGATAGTTTATTCAAGATGGACCAATATCTATAGGTTTCAATCATTGATGAATCAACATATTATGCAGAGGGCAGGTATATTAGTAATGTAATCATCGGAAAACTATGTTCTGAGTCCACAAATCATTTATTTTAAATCGTATGCAGTTAGAAAAATGCAATAATAAAACTATTGCTAAATTATTTAATAATTCATTGAACTTGTTATGGCCAAATATTATTATACACACAAAACATTTTCTTAAAACTTTTCTATGAAAATTTCAAGTATAGTTACCATTTTTTTTTGTTAGGTACGCCAAAAAAAAAGAAAATTGATTTAAAAAAAAAAATCCGTTTTTCCTTAAATTTTTATTTGATAGTTATATTAAAAAATATTAGGAATTTTTCTATTTTGACTTTAAAAAAAAAAAAAAAACAACACGATCCGATTTCCTATCTAAAATCACCCTCAAAGTTTAAAATTGAAATGATTTTTTGAGTAATTATCAACTATCGTGTATACATGTACAACAAATATATAAACCTTTTCTCTCAAAATCTAAAATATTGATTGATAAAACACAATGTGGTATAATATGATAAAAACATGTACATAGTACACCTATTGTGTTAAAAACTTAATATATCTTTAGATGAGAAAAATATAAAAATTATGTAAAAATATATCAAAGTTAAAAAATAAATCAAATTTTAGAAGAAATTATAACTTATCATGTTACAATTATTAAAGGGTAAAGTTCGACATAAAATGTTCTAACGCCTTTGAAATGTAAAAGAAGAAAAGAAAACTTTTAGAGATGACATAAAATTTAATTTAGTTTATTGAAGGTGTATATTCTGTATATCTTTAATTTAATTCTCAAAATATATTTTGACTTGTTCAACGAGTACATAACACGCACTTTACAGATAGCGAACAACTTTACATTGTAATCTAACGAATAAAATTAGTCATTTTATGTGACGTTTAAATGTTTAATATGAACTACGTGAAAAGGACAACATTGTAAGTTTAGATTTGAAGAGTTTGAAACAACAACTTGATAAATTTACTTCGTTCGGGGCTGATAAAACACGTTTCATTATTATAATTAATCAATGCTAAAATAATAATATCTACACCTTTCAATTATTAACATGATGATAAATGATATTGCGGATTTAAAATCTATTTAACTTTTTTTATCTTTAGATAAAAATAATTCAAAGTCAATACCTTATGGATTTATCTGTTTGATAGGCTATACATATTACTTTTCAAGAGAAAAGTAATAGTAATTAAATTAAATTTACTGATTTAAAAATTTAAATTTAGATTTAAATGCTTATGAATAGTAACACAACAGTATCTTAAATTTTAAAATGAGTTATCATAAATCCAGATGTATCTAGTTGTTTCACCAAAAATAAAAACAAAATAAATCCAATCCTATTATAAAATATACTTATATTTATTGCATTTTATTAGTTGTTGCATCTGAATACATGTAATTTTATCCTATATAATAATTCACGAAAAAGTGAACTTCCAAAATAAGTTAATTTATCTGGTTATTGTTCATTTGTATTACTTTTTTAATGAGAGGCACACATATATTAATTCATGATAATGTTATTATGTTACGTACTTTGGGAAATATTTCTTGAACAAAGATTTTAATAGATATAATATGAATATTTCGTATTAAATTATTAATTTTAATTTATCTGATTAACGAAAATAGCTTTTTGATGAGACATTTATGAATCAAGGTTCTGTTTATATTGAAATTCTGTAAAGTTGTAAAATATTAAGTTATTTAATTAATTTTATTGACTGTATGTATTAGCTAATATTAGTTAATATTATTATAGTATTTGATAAATATACAACAGAAGAAAGTTCTTATAGTTTTATACACGGTATTCTATGCTTTAATATATAGTTTTAAGGAATATTTTAAAGTTCATAAAGCAAAAATAATAAAAAAAAATTCATTAAATTTAAAAATGTTTATATAATATGTGACTTAAGTTTTCAAACCAATAATTGTAGACATTAGTAGTACTAACTCATATTTAATCTTAAAATATTTGAATTACAATTTATTATAACAACAGCGACTTTTATATTCGTTGTCTTAGTAATTTACTTTATATAATAATATACTCAAGTATTTTTTTTATTTAAAACTTTTTAAAACTTCTTTATTCTTGTATATATTTGTCATGTTGAATAAATATATTCTTATTTCTCTGTATAGTAAATTACATGAATGTTTTAAATTTTTAGAAGTACCTAAGAATATCCTCGACTAAAATATTGGGATAATGATTTTAACTAAATCTTCAAAAACTTAAATGGTGTAGGTCAGCGTTTCTCAACCTATGGTACGCGTACCGCTAATGGTACGCAGAAAGCTCAAAATACTTGAATGAAAAATAAATATTTATCATAAAATAAAATATTATTAGATACATAAAATATTATTTCGTTTATTTGATTACTAAACAAAATAGTCGGTTTTACTCACGTTAATGATAGAAATTTAAATAAACGATAATATCTATAATGTGTAATGCTTGGTTGATTTATGTTTTAATAAATTGTACATGCTATTAATTTTACTTTTGTTTAATAAGTTTTAATATTCTATAAATTTTTTAAGCAAAATGAAAAAAAATTGAGTTTTCTAAATTAAATTGTATGTGAAAATGTTCTAGATGTGTAGGTGGTACTCGGAAGTAAAAGGTTGATAATCGCTAGTGTAGGTCAATTATATTTAATTGTAATTTAGTATTTAATTAGTACATCTAAATTCTAATCGATTTCATGAAAAGTAAACACTATCTTCAACGATGCCAGTAGCAAACATTATTGGAATCAGAGGTTCTTATAATATTTTACTGTTTTCTATCATCTTTCATATGTATTAAATAAATTGACGAAACAGGGTTCCAAATTGTTTATTATTATTATGATTTGGAACTGAGATAATTTTTTTCCACCCATAACAAATGTTTTATTATACATATTTCAAAAAAATAAAACACAAAAATTGATTTGTTAACCCCTAATTAACAATTAACTTAACACTAAGATCGCTAGAGTCACAGCGTTCACTATATCTTTTAATAATGAAATTAATGAATAAAATTACATTTAAATACAAAGGTGAGACTATAAAACGTTAACAAAAAATAAAAGTAGATTTTATTTTTTTAATTCAAAACTATTTATAAAAAAAAAAAAATAACCCATAAAAAATAATATGCTCAAACTGTTGTTGGAAACGTAATGTCACGTGACTATAATGACGTCACGATATATTATTGCATAACTCATAGGTATAATATATAAGAGTTCAAAGATAAAACTTTAAAACGTTCTTAATAGAGCTCAGTTTGTGTCAAGTACTCATTAGGGAGTTATCATCGTGCCACTGCGTTCTACCTATTATAATAGCTTATATTTAATCAAATTTTTGTGGGGAGGGTTTTAATTTTTATTATTTTATAGTTTAATAAACGATATGAACTAAAATATATATTTCATAAAACACAATCAATTTCTCCCAATACATAAAAATTTAATCACCATAAACATGTATAGAGAAATTTAATAATATTTGAACTATTAAACTGTATAGGCATTATTTTTATATTAATATGTCTATATGTTTTATAACGTATTTGTTTTATACTTACAATTTTAATATTTTATATTATTAGCATTATTAAAACATTACACATTTTTAAAATAATAATTATCTATACTCTATATGTACATTTATTAATTTTTGCATTGTTAAATTAAAAATAATAAATAATAATAAAATTTTAGTAGTTGAAAACTAAATAAGATAACATATAGTAAATTAATTACGCGCCTGTTTTGTTACCGTTATTAGATTCCGGTGATGTATCATATCATAATAATAAATATTAGAGCTTGGATTTCAATATATCTGTTTTTATTATTAGAATACTTAACATAATGCTTTCTAAACATTAAAAATGTATTGTAAGAACTTAATATTCTACAATAATGAATGTATTGGTTTAATTAAATGTGTTTTTTTTATATATTTTAACGTTAGAATCAGAAAATTGATAGAAAAAAAAAAAAATTCATAAAAAAAAAATAAATAAATTTATAATATTTATAATTTATATACTATAAATCGCTAGAATTTGCTTAGATCGTTTTGAATCTATTAGCTCAACATATTTATAATATTATGGTTCTTATTATTAATAATAATTGTAATACATTTAATCTACAGAGACCGGACACAAAACATATCTATATTTTATGTCTAGCTATTATTGTAGCCATCGTTTTATGATGTAATATACGTATTATGATCATCTTAATAAAAAATACTACCGAACGCATTTTTACACGTTTTGTATGACGACCACTAATACAGTATTAAATCTAACGCTCGTGATCGATATAAAAACTGTATCCGTTCCCCGTACAATTAGAGTGGTTACGTACAAAAAGCCTTAATATTATAATATCGACTTATTGTCTAAACTATGTATGTTGTTTTTCTGTTATTTATCTTTCTTTGTTTTGATTGAAACGGGCGTTAATCAAGTGCGTTTCTGCCATTTGTGTTGCAGAAAAACCAGTATCGTGGATGATGGTGGCACCATCGTTGACGCCTAACAAGTCTCCCGGCGTGTCTAACAACCCTGGCTTAAGACTGTACAAATTCAACACCAATTCGGGCCAAGTAAGTATATGTCTATATAAATGAAATTTCTATCTATAAACATGTAGTGTTAGTATTTTATGACTGTCATAATGATTCTATTAAGGCGATTTTTCGTTTTAAAAAGAATCACATCATTTGTTAATGACAAGATTGAAAATTATTCTTTTACATTTTTGAATTTTTAAACAAACGATTGGTATATTTTTTTAGTCTTGCAATTAGATATATAAAACGGTACAGTACAGTAAATTTTCAAACCATGCTTAATACTTTTTGCCAATTTCATTTTTGGTTATTAATGCATTTCTGATATCTATTTTTAAGTTTGCTTTACGACTATAATCTTAAAATAAAAGTATCACTACAGAGTAGATATTAATATTTTAAAAATGGTATTTAAATACACATTTACCTGAACATTTTAATTTAAATAAACGCATAGTTCAAGTGTAAATTAAAGTAAAGACAACTAGTGACATATCATTAGGTGTTTATAATCTATTAAAATTATACAATACGTAAACGAATTTAAAGTTTCAATACAAAATTCATTTACTATTTATATGTATTTTAAAAATATAATTGAGCTATTATAACAATATGGACGTCGTTTTTTATTTAGATTATAGACTACACACAGTACTATATCGATCTGGATTCATCACCTAACGGCGATCCAGATGACTGGAGAATTGAGTACAACCTAACGCACTACTACGGACTCCACGAAATCACGCCTAGGTCTCTGCACGCGATCGCTGAAACGTTCCAAGACGACGAGTCAGTGCAGTTTGACAGGTAAATCATAATATTAGCGTCATAATATCAAAATATATTATAATTAAGTACAACTGCTAAATAATACGCAGGTAATTAAACCATAAACAGTAAATGATTGTTCATTTCATCACATTTTTCTGTAAATACACATTTTTCCCGTGATGGTTATGCAGGTAATTTCCAATTTTTCTTTATTCATCCAACCTAGTCCATTTACCCTCAACCATGGAAAAAGTCATAGACAATGCTTACAACTTTAATGTAAGATTGCTGACAAACTAATTAAAACGACCTGTACACATCAAGTCCTGCGTGATATTTAAATGTTGTGTTTATGATAGATCTCTATGCAGAACCGATTTTGCGATCAGTATGATGATAATTTGTTGTACAAAAACAATAAAAGCATATTATTATATTAATTTAAATATCTATCCAATTATATGACAGATCTGCAGCATATCTAAATTTTTTTTTTTTTGTGTGTGATTGTGTTCGAATTGAATTTTCATGAAGATTAATACATAAACAGTAAAAAAGTCTTCAATCCTATCAAATCACATCTTAAATCTTGTGGATACATATATTAATGATAGTATATTGTAATATACATATATATAATATTATATTACAAGGACACATGTTGTCGCCATTCATTCGTGTACATATTAATGTCTACCTACTATGTTCCGTGGGCACCGCTGAATAAAAACTTTCAATGGTGATAAAAATAAATAAAGGCAAGAGTTTTTTTTTATTTGATTTTTTTCTACCGTTTCATATTTTTTTATACATTCCAACAAAAGCTATACGTGTAAGGATAACAAAAAAATACTTCAACCCTTTAAGTTAATGGGCATGTGAATTATATACTCGACAAAAATAAATATTCAATATTTTTTAATATATATGTATTAAGTTATATTATGTTTGATTTTTAAAAAAAATACACCAAAATTGTACACCAATTTTGTGACTAAAAATATTTTTACTTATTCATCGTCAATCACTTATATTTAAATTTGATTTTTTTTTTTTACTTATTCCATGTATATATAATATATATATATATATATATATATATATATATATATATATATATATATATAATTCATTATCAGTATATACATCAAACAATATTCATTATTGTCATAATTCAACCAAAGTATTTAAATATTAATATTTAATTTTTGAAGTATTAATAATTGTCACCTTTCCCTATTTGGAACAAAAAATAATGCTGTCAAGTACATTGTAATTTAAAAAATTGAATTGACAAACAATATTATTATTATTTTAATTTTTATATCACTGCACATTTTATTGGTATCTGGTATTAACGGTATAAACACAAATGTTCTAATATTATTATTATTATTATTATCTTGTAGCCGATTGTCAATTTACGCGAAATGTAATATCTAATTGATTTACTCGAGTACTCGACTCTTATTATAATTATCTTCAATCAACCAAAACTCTGATCCTACATTATAACCGTTAGCATTCAATCAGCATGCGGACTAAATCATTATTAAATAGACCATGTATAATATTCAATTGAGTTAAATTATTATTATTAGTAACGTTGTTACTGCAAAAAGCGAAAACTTTGCGGAATCGAGTATAAATTTGACATAGTTCTGACTAACGCCAAAATAACGTAAATCTCTTTATTTATCTCTAGAGACTTAATAGAGAATATTTTTCGTATCTACAATACTTTTGCCAGAAAAGTTAAACAAATTTAAATCAAAAGAATTTTCGCTAATACTCAAAAGTTTTATCGTACATTCGGTTTTAAAAAGATAAATACAAGCATTTTCTACATTATTATTTACTAAAAAAAAAAATGTAAAGTCTGAAAGAGTTATGCGATTATACGCTTGTGAAAATTACCAAACACAAATAAAATATTTCTATCTCGGCTTTTGTAGAGTTCTTCGTAATGTATGCCGTTGAAGAAATATCTTTAGTTTCATTTTTATTGACTTTTAAAATACTGTCCAAAGTCAATAAATTGCAAAGATTTCAATCAATTTTACGCATGTATGTATTTTTTTTTACTCTTTAATGAAATATATAGCATAGAATAATACCTATTATAATTTATAATTTATACATATTTCATTTCACATTAAAATATTACCTAGTAATTGAATTAATTATCTTCATAAAATAACATTTATGATATTGCGTTGTGCACAATTTACTATATTCACTGTAATAAAGCAGTCGAAAATGTCTTGGACTTATTTACAATTATATAGTTTATACGATCCAATTATTATCTTACATTAAAATAAATGAAAATATGTATGATTTATCAGAATACTTCATGAAAATTGAAAGAAGTTCATTGTTGTCTATAATATTTATAAAAATCGTTAATTATATGAAAATTCTTTAATTTTATCTCTGTCGTAAGTTTTGAGAAAAAATTGAGTCTCTCCTATTTCGTAATCACGTTTTAATGAGTTTTTTCAATGAATATCATTCTAATGAAAATACAAATAGTGGAATCCAAAAGTGACTACAAAAATAAAAATATATAACGACATATATAATTTATTATTTAGAAATTAATAACATTTTATGATTTAAACGATAAATTCGAACTCTCATAAAATAATACTATTTTGTCGTAAGTTTCTCTAGTTAACTGTTACTATCTTGGAAATTTAAACATATCATATATAATATTATTTCAGTTGTACACAATTTAACGGGCAATATAACCGAATTTAGCTAAAAACATGACGTGATTATAATATACCATAATCATCGATAAAATGTGCAAAAAATAAATTATGATTTATAGCTTTAAAAATGTAATAAATTATAGGTATACTGATAAATTTCAAGCATGCTAACTCCTATTTTTCTTTTGATAATTTATAAACTTATATATATTCTCATTTTGGAATTTGGAAATATACTCAAAAACCATATTTTCAAATTATTGATATTTTTTGTAACTTTTATAGAGTTTACTGTTTCATGCAAGCTTATGGTTTTTAAATAAAAATCTCTATTTCTTACTATAAATTATTTAATGACTATTTTTTTTTTTTTTTTTTTTTGAAATCGTTTAATAAATGTATCGAATTTAGTATATTTTATTATACTTAGGCCATTTTTATAAATTATAAATATTTCTAGATTAAAATAAATTGCTGAAATTTCAGAATTATTATAACTTTATATTTTCACACAACTATTATCTTTAATATACAAAGATAAATAACTCAAAAACCATAACTTTTAATTTTAATTCTGATACGTCAATATCGTCCAAAAATTATCGACTAAATAATTTTTAGTCAAAAAAGTTGGTTTAAATTTGAAAAAGTTTGTTTCACTATAAAATATTCCTTAAATAGAAAAAATAACTTTAAAAATTTAAAAATATTTTTTTTTTTTTAGATATTCAAAATTTACAAACATTGTATTTGAATAACTGAATTTTTAAAAAAAAAAAAATGGGGATGAACATATATTGTGAATCACAGTGTATAGAGGCACTTTTCGAAATACTAAAATATTTATATGTTGTATAATATTACATAAAATGGAAATGAATACTTTCGCTTTTCTTTTGTAAGGCATTGTCAAAACAGCCATACAATACTTACAAAAGTTTCGACAAACTACGTCATATATGTATAGTGAAGTCACGATTAACTTTCTTACCGTAGGATGGTGAATTAAATTTTAAATTGCATATTTGACCTATTTAAAATGAAAATCTTAACTCAATAAAATTGGATGCAGAATTTCTTACAATATATCATAATAGATACGTAATAATATTATAATGATATATATATGCACATTTAAGCAATCATCTATACTTATTGTAGTGTTATATGACATATTTACACAATTATACACTAACGTAGTACGTGTAAAATTATAATACATAAAAAAGGACTAAAAATTGGGAATTCGAAGTGTGTTTTCCTAAATATATATAAATAAAGTTACATCGAGGGTGTGAATAATGAATCAAAGTGTTTGCACTACGAGTACTTTGAATGCAATGTAAACCCAATAAGGTGAAAAATTGAAGAATTATCGTTCATATTACGACTTCAATAGTGCACTGTGAAAAAAAAAAAAGTAGCAAACAACAATAGAAAACATTCGTGATTTCGATAAAAATTACGTATATATATATATATATAAACGAATATATGGGTATTACATATATTTTTTTTAAATAGAAAATAAAATAATCAAAAATCAAAAGATGTTAAGAAGCTTCAGATAGTATAAGTTTGATTTAACATTCTTTATGGAAATGGCTTTGCGGGTTCAAAGATTCAGTTATTGTTTATAGTTCTTAAGTAACAACAAAAAAAAAAAAAAAAAAATCTTTAAAATAATCCATCTTACTGCTGGTTACTTAACTCTCACCACTATTTTCCTCTTCTCTTCACTCACATCACCAACGGTTTACAACTCATAAGTATGGGACACTTATTAGTACTGCTTCGTTTTGTTTTCTTCTTTCTGTCTCTCCGCCTTTAGTTTTTCGACAAAAAATGTTTAACGCAAACAACATCTCTAAGTAGGATATATATACACAGTTTGAGTCCGACAAACTTTCGGTTTATTCATTTATTTTTTATATTTTTATCAACCCTTGGGACAACAGTGGCCACTTTCTCCAGATTTAAAATTTACCCTAGAGCCTAGTGCACTCTTTTAATATTTGTTTTAGGAATTCTAAAAAAAACAACGAAATACGAATTGTTTTCATAGGTGGTTAAAAGTTTGGCTTAGAAAATCCGCAATGTTATATAGTTTATGGTATAACTCTATGTTTAATTATCATCCACGTATAACCCCAATATAATTTGATTATATAAACTAGTAAGCTATTTAAATAGTGATACTGTTTAAATATATATTTTTAAAACTATCAAATGATGGCTTTTATTAAAAAAATGTATTTTACCTACAACAAATAATAGTATATTTAAGTTACATAATATTCGTATTATTGTATATATTTATTATTCATTTTTGTTTATTTAAAAAAAGAAAAGAAAAATAGTTCTTCTAAAATTTTAGTATTAATTCGTACCACTAATTTAATTATTAGAAGTAACAAATATATAAAGACTAAATATAAAAATAATTTAATTATATTAATGATATTTTAGTAAGCGCATAATTTAAATGTATAATTCTGTTATTGAAAACAAATAAATAAAGTCACATATGAACTTTATTTGTTAATTAATAATACCTGTTGAAAGCTTATATTTATATTTACTTAAATTATACAGAGAACTTTGAAAAACGTTTCAAATTCTGCATGAGCTTGTTTTAACTTTGCAATATTATAATTAATACTAACTCTATATTGTGGGTAATAAATGGTCTCAAACACGCCATAATCAAAATTAATTATACTGAATGAGGTCAGAGTTAAAACTGCATTTGCTCTACATATTATTAAATAAATCTAAAAAAAAAAAAAAAACACAAATATAAACTAAGCATTCGATCTAGATGCTACAAAAAAACATATCTTCTACCTGAAAAAGTTTTCGAGGAATAAACTTTGTTGAAGAAAATAATCATTGCATCACTAAATTTAAGGAGACAAAATTATAAACCACGAGCAATAAATCTTTAATAAGCATCAATCAAAATTTATTAATAAGCAATTATTCAATTCAATGGAACGATTAACAAGAACAAAAAGGGTGCTAGTGAAATACGCACATTGAAATTTTAAAATCCTATACTTGCATTTCTTACTTCTAATGTTATTAACTAATCACAGACATTATGTACATTGCATAGTATCTTCTATAATGACTAAACGACAAACAAAGGGTTAATATTAGCGATAAAAGTCATCACAAAAAGCCTTGTTGACAAATTTTTAAAACAAATTGAGATATATATTATTGTGAGGCTATGAAGATTTGGAACGCAGGATATTACGTCGGTAATCTCTGAAATTAATTTGTGAAAGAATAAATAATAGCTAGTAAATTTTATTATATCCGATGACAAAATATTATTTTAAAATATATGACTTGAAATACATCTAAATCTATAATCCAACGGACATCGCGAATTGACTCACTTTGATTTATTCTACGTATCATCATCATTCTAAATTATTATTGTTCTATTTTGTAGAAAATATAAGATTTCTGGGGTAATTATTGTTTATTTTTTACAACATTTCTAAATATTTTTTAAATATTTAAACAAAAATATTTAATAGAATAAAATTGTAGGTATTTAAAATGTATTTAACTACTTGTAGATAGATAGTGTTTAATATTTGCTAGAAAAGTATTTAAATAATAAATCGCATACACTTTACAACATAGATAATAATTGAATATGACAAACTTATGAAATTTGATCACACCAAATCTCATAATATTATAATAACAATATAATAATATGAAGTATACGCGTTGTTGAGTCCTGTGGCGCTCGAAATCCCACTGTCTACATTTTGTGCGAAAAAATGTAGAAAAACTATCTAATTTGGCCCCTTTTGTTCAGTAAACGTCCATATTTTAATATTCAAAATCGTATGATAAATATTAATATATTTTAAACGAGCAATTTATGTATGAGCCAAAATACAATAACACAATCCACTTAAAAAAAAAAAAAATTGTGCATTAACATGAATTCGCCCTTTGACTAAATAAATTTTTTTCTACTCTCTCTTTTAAATTTTTGATCCCGAAATGATATTCATGAGATGCAATTGCTTATAGTTTATATAAGTTAAGTTAGTTTTGCTTATAGTTTTTACTGCTGTATTTTTTATTTTTTTTAATATAAGATTTATTATCATCTTTTTTGCATAAAAACTATAATTTAAAATTGAAACTCTCAAAAATGTTCGTATAGCTGTTAAAAAACTTTAAAAATGGAGTATAATATTATAAATATTGTTGATATCATATTCTTAAGACTAGTCAGAAATCATAGTTTTCATAAGCTTTAATTATAACAGTCTTTTAACGATAGATACTCACTACTCACTTAAATATTATGTTATTTTCTAATGTTTATGTTAATTTATTTTTCTCATTAAATTGCGTATTAAAGGTTTGAATTAATTAATGCTCGAACTATCCAATAAATTGGCCCTCAGTTACATTGAACGTCAGTCTATAAAATTCAGTTAAATGTTGAAATAAACAATGACTTTCGTCTTAATTGATCAACTTGCAATAATTGTTGTGTAAGACTTAGATTGAAATTTCGTTCTCACTTTTAATTATCTTTTCCTGTTGTTTTAAAGAGGTTTTTAATCATCACATTTAGTAGGTATTTTGCTCAAATTTATTATATTAATAACAATTTGTTAATATTTAGAATTATGTAAAAAAAACTATCATTTCTATCAGTATAATATTATACTAATATAGCAGAATTATTCTAGGCCAACACGGACTGAACAAAATTTACATTTCTGTTGACGTTGTAACACTTAAGTTTAGGAATCGGCAGGCCGCATGGTACTCCACAAAATATAATATAAAGATTGTCATCCAGCGTTGTTGCGATTATTTTTTTTGTTTTTAATATATTAGTATATTACGTTTATTTATATAATATTATATAATAACACATTGGATATTATTATTATTTGAAAACAAATAAAGGTGGTAGGTTTATATTAACAAATAATGTATGTGAAAATTATAAAAAAAATAAAAAAAAATAAATAGAATTTATCATTTAGATCACACAATAACATTTATTTAACGTTCACGTTTATCACAAAAAATAATTACTTCCTAAAATATATTTCAGTATTGGACCACTGCATTTGTCAAATAGTGAACACGGCTGTTATTTATACGCTTTAGTTTAAAAGAAAACATGTTAGTTTTTGACCGAGCACGTCCCATACCCGAATTACTAAAACCCAACTATTATACCACCACTGAGTCGAACGTGTGGCGCACACCGGTGACCACTAACAATTTTCTCTTTTTCGATAGCACTACGTTATTATTGACATGGTTGGTAAGGCAAAAGTCTGTATTGAAAAAATTGAGACAGCAAAACAAATGACAGTGTGATTATTTAAACCCCAAAATATTTCAATAGCCTCCTCAAAATAATCCAAATAATATCCTGTTTGGTTACATTAATTAATTATTTTCTATTTATATCCAGCAGCTGGTGACAAAATTAAAAGACGTTACAACGCTATGAAAAATTAAAACTGTAGTTTACGTTAGTGTTTTGTTTCTATTTAAACTATACTCATCCAGAGTCGCTACTAATTGCTTCTCGCAATAAAAATGTCTACGAAATTGTGGTCCAAGATTTTAAATGTGTAAACGAATTACAGTCCATATTTTTTTAGGTGCACCTTAATTAAAATATTACAAAATTATATGTTATGGAATATAAAATCCCATATCATTGGACACTTAATTTTCCTTTCTATTTTCACATAAACTACATATTATAACAGTACAATATCATTACTACTTATAAGTTAAAAATACTGATTTATTTTTATTTAAATGTGTCATACTTTATGATTTATTTGCAGATACATAGAAGCCAACTCAGTGCGACAATTCAAACCCAAAGATTGCAATCTGGAATGTAGGCGAGCACATTATTGTGCTGTCACCGAACTCGACTATAGTCGGTTTCACAGCTGCGTGGAGACAGCCGCTGAGGCACTTTCCGGGTCGATTCGTCCTCGGAGTGATGATGCTTTTTTCATAACAGCCATTTTGCTGACCGTCGTGATGCTGACCCGATACTGCCACCACTAGCTACTGCTAACACCACTGACAACACAAACAACGTCTATAGAGACGTCTTCTCACGAAAACGTGTAATAATATTACAACGACAATAAAGATCGACTCGACGTTTTTCTATATTTCTTTCTCTCTGTATACATTTAGCTCTCTTTCTCTCTCTTTCTCGCTCTATCTCTCTCACACTCTCTCGCTTTACTTGTCTCGACCTCTCGGTAACAAATCTCTATGTGTATATAATATTTAAAAAAAACTCGCACCAGACGTGTTACGGCTTTCGTCATCAAAATCGTTTCTCAACGATCTATATAATAAATATATATAATACGGCGATATTCTATAATGCATTACTATATAATATACGCCTTCATAACCAACTACCCTCCCCCTCCGAAGACCACAGACTTCAAACGCTTGTCTGTTTCCGCCACTGGGTTGGACGCCACGCGAGACAACGGAACGAGAGCAATTTTTTCTCCAACTTACTACGACGTCGAGTTTGATTTATTCCACGTCCATATCCGCTGGCTTTTACGTTTGCAGCTGAGACACCTCAATACGACCAAGAAGGTTTATTATTATTACTATTTTTTTTCTCTTGTCGAACCTGCCAATTTTTTTTCTCTTGACTAGACGTCTTGGATCGTATATTTTACCTCCGCAGATCAGCAAACTGCGATAATTTATTATTTTTACATCCGTTAACGAGAAAATATGGTGCTCGTCCTACATATATATATGTATATATACGTAATAAGAGCCTATATACGTAGTTATATTAAATTATGCGGTTCAGGGTGATTTTTTTTCCCGCACCGATCAATCTGCTTGAGATATTTTACCCTGTCCGTTTATAGTCCATTATTATAATGTACTACACAATTTTCATACTACGTTTTATTTTCTATTGCCCTAGCTATCGTTTAATAATATTAGGATTTCCGTGAAATATATTATATTTGAAATCCATAGATAGAAGGAATGGCATTTCATGGTTGCGCACATTATTAAACGAAACCAAATTTTCGTTTTACAATGTAATTAGTACACAACGTATATACAATTATATTTTTAAAAGTTATATAATTTTGTCTATCGTTTCGGAAAAACAAATAATTAATTATCGCACCATTGCGTAATTGAACCATTTAAAAACAGTTTTCTGTTGATCAGGATTAAAATAATTTATTGCAATAATAATGTTATAGAATAAATGACATCATTTTTATCTAGTCTATGATAATATTAACAACAAGACATTGGGTTTATCAATAATGAAATAGGTCGTAATTTATAAAAAGAAAAAAGGAAAAAATATTATATCAAAAAGTCTCATTATACCCTATTCTTTACTCATGATAACGCCAATATCTTGATGGAAAATAAATTCTTATAATAAACTATACGAAAAAATTCAAAGCGATTACAAAGGTCTATCGAACTACATTATATGATCAAACATGACCATTACTGATTAAATAATAAATATGCAATGATTGGATGTAATATACAAAAAAAAAAAGCATAGGTTATAGGTACTCGATGACGTTGTATTTAATAATATGATTTGATATGATATAGTAAATACTGATAAATACCTTACACATAAATGCATTTTATTCAATTTCGATAAAATAAAATTTTCTCTAAGGAGTAGGTATATAATTAACTCTATGTAAGGATCTTTTAAAAGCTCAGCTAAAATAAAACAACCATTGCAATGGAATAAAGATGTAATTTAAACACACCTTGTCAACACGTAATTCGTACGTCATTCAAACTGAGAAATGTATAAAATTAATCATAAATTTTAAAAACAGGCAACAGCTAACCTCGTGTTCGATGTATTTTTATTAATAAATTACCATACTATAAGAACGATAGTAGTAGTAATAATAATAATTACAGTAATAACGAAGATATTTTGAAAATAGATTTACAGAAAACGCAACGTTCTACTTGATACAATAACATTTTCTCTAGCAATGTTGATGATATAATACGCGCCGTATACGAAATTACTCAAACACGATAGTAACATTATTTTAATACTATAGTGGTACTGTCAAAGGCTATGATTATTATTCTTAAAACCATTTCTGTTTACCAGTTAAAACATTTTTAATCGAAATATTATTACTTAAAATTTATAAAATAAACTACCTACATCGTATTATCGTGAAATAACAGTTAAATTAAAAAATGAAAAATAAAAAAATAAAATGTTTCATTATTATGCGTTGAAATTAAAATACTTCGTTGGTTATACAGTATGATATTGTTATAATTTGTAACAGCCATAGTTTTTGGGCATAAGTTTAATCAATTTTAATCAGTTAATGAGCGTATGTAGTTAATATGTAACATAATAACGTTATTGACGCATTGACGTGTGAAAAACGCACTACATAATTATTATTATAGACTGAAATATTGACGTGTACAATTTCAGTGTGAAGGTGAATGGGTATAACGGCTTTTAAATAAAATAATTATATTACCCACCATAATAACAATTTAATTAAGAGGAAAAATATCGATATTTCAACTCGACATCGATACCCGTGCCTTAACTGTTATAATTTTTATTTTTGGAAATCATGCTAAAAACGAATATTATTAGAGTTATATCACTAATAAAACAGTTTTTTTTTTTTTTTTTGTTTATTATTGGATATCGTCTTTGAGAATTAATTCAAATTCAAATCCACACTATAACCTGTACCAAGGGGAAGCTGCATCGTCTGATCGAAATGAATAATTATTGTATTAGTAATCAAACTTTTATTATTATTAAAATATTTTAGTCACTTACACTTAACACGGTGCAATATAAAGAATAAATAAATAGTCGATCCTCGGAGTATCATATAGGTCAATGGGTACGAAACAAAAAAATATTATTTTAATAGGTATTATGGACCGACCCAGCCAACGGGAAATTTCTGGCTGAGCTACTGGCGCGTTAGTGCCTCTGGGTATAATTCGACAAGACATCGCGAACGCGTGCATTATCGTTTTACTCAAAACTTTATAGATAACATCCACTTAGCTTATGTAGGTAAACCTTGCATAATATTTCGCCATACCTACATCCAAACATGATTTGTAACCAAAATGTAGACAGACGTCGATATCATAAAAAACCTTTTGCTGTTCTTAATACCGCTACCGATATTAATGTTATTATTATTGTTATTATCATCACTATCATTGCACCACCCGACTATCGAGCGTGTGTGTACACCCGCGAGAATAACGCACGAATACACAACATTATTGCACGACGTACTATAATACACAAGTACATAATATCGTTATTATTACGTACGCCGTAAATTCGCATCTACGCGCGAGTCGTCGGGGATTACCGTCGTTTTTCAATGCCCTCTTGTCTCGTCTCTATCTCTCACACTCTGTCCTCCTAACACACCGTCGTGATTCGCTACATTAAACGTAATATCTCTACCGATGATGTTGTTACGTGTACTTACGCATACACACAAACGTATAATATAATAAGTGCGTGAGATGTTCGATCGTCGAGCAGATGTTATTTCAAACTGTACAGAGCGATCGCCGTGACGCGAATCGGTCGGCATGACGAAAAATTTAATATTGTGTTCCCGTAGACGCGTCTCCTCCGCCGCGTGAAGTTTTAAATAGTCTTCTCGCCGACTTGTCCGTCAGCGTATATAATTATTGTGCAACGATCGTATGCGACTATTAGTACGGAACGATTATTATTGGCGATAAAACAGATTCCGATAATATTAGAATTATTCGTTAAGTTACCAACCATTTAAAGCCCCATAATTTGCGGCGGCGACACGTGGTAGCCCAAACAACGTTACTCGCTTGGGACTTTTCTGTAAAATGTTAAGTTGTATATATACATATGAGCAATATGAAATCTAAAATTAAAATCTAAACTATATTTTAATCGTCTGTAGTGAGAGGCTGCGTCGATCGATTTGCGTTGAAAAAATTGGCTTGTTATGCCACATTATATAGTATAATATAAATGACATTTTTATAATAATTAAACAATCGGTATTTGAACTGAAAATGTAAATTCATTATTTAGAAAAATATTTATTTATTTATTTTTTTTTTTTTTGTTTTGTTTGGCCCGATGAACTATAATATTATGACCACATAATGATATTATAAATAGTATGATTATAACTACTATTAATTATTATTGTTATATTAATATGATATGTTATTAGTCCATTAATAAATTATATGTAATATATTATGAAATGAATATATTCGTTGTGGACACTATTATACAATTTGTATTTTATTATTGAAACCATTAAGATATTCTTCGTGTTTTGATGTCTTAAAAATATAAAAGTTAATTTAAGTGAAATATATTATGATTAAACAATTATTACTACTATTATTATTATTATTATTATTATTATTATTACAACTATACTATAAATATTATTAAAAAGAAACATATTGTGTTATTTTAAGTTATGACATTTTTTTTATGCATTTGTTTTGTATTTATAAAAGTTATATGTTGCTTTTTATGAATAACTTATGAATAAAATATAATGACTTAAGAAAAGACTAAATTTTTGACTGAATTTAGAAACCTTTGAAAAAATCTTGCATTTAAGAAAAAGTTACATGAATTTCTCCTGGTAAGAAATCAATACACCTTGAATGGCTCCCGCAGGCGAACTAAGAAGTCAATTTTTGTTTGCTATCACGATGGTATAGAAAAAGAAAACGTGATTAAAAATAAGCTCTTAAACAAGAATTGGCCCCAAACCAATAATTTATGCGGATAATAGCCATTTACGTCTGTATGAATAACCGATTCAATACAATAACAACTCGTATCGTCGAATAACATTTTATATTTTAAAATAATTGTTTACTTTAATTTATTGTCACATCATATTATGGTATTCTTATGAATTATAAAAAATACTGTATACAATTTTCTGAAAAACAAATTTCAACTACCTGAACCAATATTGATATTAAAACGCCGTAAATTTCATAGCATACAACAGCAATAATAATAATAACAATTACAAAATTTATGACTTGTTTACATATAATTATACTGTATAACAAGTATTAAATTTTATAAAATATATGGTACTGTATACTTAATATAAACTAATAAAAACGTAAAAAAATTAAGAAAGGCGGAAAAAATGGAAGAGAGAAAAAGAAAGTTTATGCCTATAATAATAAAGATGAAAAAGAAATAATGAAATAATGGTTTATGAATCGCTGTATCTGAAAAGTAAAAACGATTAAATTTTTAGTTTTGGTGGAATTTAGATAAATATAAAAATATTTAATACTTTTTTTTTCAAATATATAGGAAAAATCAATCAATAATCACAAAAATATAGGAATTTATTTTAATCAATTTTCAACAAAACCGATTTTGTTACTTTGATATTATTTCAAAAACCATAGATACTTAAAATTTTTATCAACTACATGTTATAACAATCTATACATGATATATTAATCTTTAAAATATTTTGGCTTTTTTGAGATTTTGCTTATTATTTAAGACATTATAATATAAAATATAAAATATCGATTATTTTAATAAACATTTTAAGTTCAAATTTTGATGACATGAATATTATACGAAAATAAAACGAAGAGTGAACTTTTTTCTAAATATTTCAATTATTTTGTTGCATTTAAAAAAATAAATATTTATTGCAGTGACTTGAAACTACAATAAACTACGCGATTACGCATATTTATAACACCATTACGTATATTATTATTCTTAAATAATCAAATTCTTAATATATTTTGACTAAGCTTAAGCTGTTTATATCACGAACTTATACCCATACTACTTAAGAGCATGTTGGTATTAATTTATCAGTTATAATAACAACTAGCAATAATAAATAAAATAAATATATTATTATATTAACATAGCTATAATTTAATGCATGCAATTTTTATTAGAAAAAATAATTTAACTCACCACTGAACCAAAAAAAATAAAAATAAATTACTTTTCACTCAATAAAAATTGTTTTTTTTTTTTCAAAAATTTTTGTTATTTCAACATTATATAATATAATGTATATAATGCATTATGACATTTATTTTTTATTTTTAATACAATTTCGTTATTCGTATAGAAAAATACAATATACATTTATATAATACAATATCCTTTAATATACAAACTGGACACATTGTATCCGCTAGAAATTTCTTTTTGTTTGTAATAATTTATAACGGAAATTAAATTGTATCAAATTGCGTTCCTGAACACCACAGTTGATAGGCTTATGATTTGCTCTTTGCAGTATCAATGATTGTTTGTTTAGGGCCAAGGATAATTCTATGAATTCGGGTTTGATTCCGTCAAAATAAAATTAAATAGACATTAACATCGGACCCTACAAGCTTTAAAATTCCGAGCGCGTAGTTTTAAAAATGTGCAATATATTCTTTCAACTGTTCCGTTAGAATTATTTATTACAGATCAAGATCATTTTATCTATTAACATATTACTATAGTTTTCTCAACAATAAAAATACAAAAAAAAGTAAAAAAAATAATAATAATAAAGACAATATCATATACTATTAATTTTATATTATCACAGTAGTTAAACCATTACTTTATTGGATGAAATATATCTTATAACAATATTTTACAGAGACAAAGTAATTTACCCACATCCCATTCGCCTAAAAATCCTAGAGTATCTCCTCTAATAAAAAAAAAATAAGGGAATGTGTTATTACCACGATTATTAGCATTATGAGCATCGACTGTTTGAACAAGGATCATAAAATGTTTATTATATTAGACAAAATAAAAGTCAAAGTACTCATCGATAAAACCAAAATATTAAACATTTATATTAAATATTGGGTTGTTTTACCGCGAAATCTACAACTCAATATTTAATAAAGTAAGTATATTATATAATTATTTTTATAAAATAATTATGAGTTAAAATTTATTTTTTACGAATCATGGACAAATATTTAATAGAATTATAACGAATATTAATTTATATAACTCTTGAAAAATCTGCAATTATTTATTTTTCTCATGATTTGGTCTTGTCGTCTTGTTTTTTTTTAACGTTAAATATAATGTATTTGTTTTTGGCTTGAATTTATTTTACTATTATTATCTTGATATATTTTGTTGAATTTGTTCACTTGACAAGTATTGCGAATTTATAGATGAAATCATATGTTTGATAAAGATTTGAAAGAAATTCAACGGATCCATTAGCAGTCCTTTTCATAGATAAAATTCGATTTCACGTGTATCGATAACTGATATATGAGAAGCCTTGCTATGTAAGAACCGTAAAGTGTTTACTTAAATCGTGATCTTTACAGCCTACCGAACTACTGCAACCCTTAATCATCAGTGCATTTTCTGTCTAATATTAATTCAACTGTAATTCGTCTTATGATAAGTGAATACATTATTATCGGTGAGTTTAAATGTAAAATGTAAACAATATTTGCGTGTACGTATAACATTCTCCATTACATTATATTTAAATGAAAATTCCAAATAATTAATTTGAAAATTTTAGAATATGATCAATATTGTTTTACTGGATTCAATAATACTATATTATGAATAGCTAATCACTATAAATGATTATTTATAAATTGTATTTATTACAAATTATATAGAGACTAATAAAAACAGTCAATTTTACTATAAATAGTAATTACCGAAACGAGACATTTGTTTTCGTCCATTGATAAATAGTGATTCTGGCTTATTCAAAATAACCGTGCAACATTTAATTCATTAAATGCTCATACTTCAAGTGAAACTAATATTTTGAATTCAACGAACTTTAAAGATTAATTACTTTTATCATCTGTCAAGAATATTTAATAAATTATATATAATTATTCAATGAAAAATTTACTTATCATTTATTTTTATAACACTGATACTTAATATCTTCAGTAATCAATATGCATTTTCATTATTTTATTAATGTTTTCAACATGGTTTATATTTTTTGACTATACTTTTAGTGAATAATAAAAAAAAAAAAAATCATTTGTATGCTTCAAAAATGTGAGTCCAATTTATTAGTTTAATACAATAATAATTTTTCATTTATATTATTTATGAATTGGTGACACATATTTTAAAATGGATTTCTCTTATTTTGAATTAATATTAGCTATTATAATATCAAAATTATTTGTTCATTAGTTTAGAGTCTAGGTTTTAGATCTAAGTTATTAATTAAAGCTAAGTAATAGTTAACATTATTTTTTTTTTAAATCATACTCATACTGTTTTGTCTACCATGTTAATCAAGAAAACTAACAATCTGTATCCATATAATTACAGTGTTATAAACAATAGTAAGGCCAGTGTAATTAAACTTATCAATAAATAATATAATATTAATTATATTCGTATCATATTATACAATTGTTTAAAGGCGTTTCGTATAGGCTATTTGAATACATACATATATGCTTCAATAAAACAAGATGATCAAATTGCACTTAAAATGAAAAAAAAAACTGCATTTAAGTAAAAATCAGTAATAGTTGAACTGTACTCATTCAAAAAAAAAAAAGTTTCGACAAATATATTTAAAAATAAATTTATTAACGTGAAAAAAGTTACAAATTTTGTTTACAATACTATAATATAATAGCATTATATTGGTTTGTGTATGGAATTTAGATAACGTGTGAATTAATATTTAACCACGAAAACTAATCAAACTAACTTCGTAAATAAAATTTAACAAAGAGAAAAGAATCTGACTAATGTATTTATAGACTATTCAAAATTAATTAAGAAAAAATATTCAAAGTTTCTGTAGAATTAACTCAATTATTATTAAATAATAACGACCTAAATCGAGTGTGTATGAAAAAATAAATATCATAAAAATTGAAAAAAATATTTGATTTTACCAAAATCTCTTAATGACAAACATGACACTATTATTCAAGTACCTATATTTATATATTCATTGGTGTTTTAATATAACTACATATAGATACTCGTGTTTCAATTCAGAATACTGACACAAGACCTTCAGTTACATGATAAAAGAAATAAAAGGAAATTGAAAAATAAAAAAACATTAATTCCCAGGTTACGATTTTTG